TATGAATTATACTATTTCTGTACTGATTCAATGATTATAATGCTACTACTATGATTTGATCCCTAACATGTATATTGTTCTTTTATCGTACTTTGGATTTAGTTATAGGTTTTAGCGATGTGCTGAGCTTTTTAGCTCATTATATGTGGTTAAATAATTTTAGGTCAGGGTAGAGGATTAGGACTATGAGGCTGGTCAGATTTCTTTAGGTTCTTTTTTCTTTTTATTTTAATTATTCTTTTGTACTCAAGATATAATAGTTATGTGATGATTGTATAGATCTTAAGTATTGTATATAAGTTTTAAGAATGAATACAGATGTGTACATTGATATTTTGAATTATAGAATCTGTTTTGATATTTATTACTTATAGATGATATTATTTAGCTCTAGTTGTTATTTATTAAATGATAAAAAAATAATTCTTTCAAATTAGATTCTAAGACATCACATAAAGTATTACCCTCATTACCTCAATATGCACTCTCCAAAGGGCATGATCCTCATCTTCGGACCACCATGTATGTAACACCTATATATCTCATTTGCATTTGCCTTTCGCTCCAATAGATTTCCACTGGCTAATGATACACAACCATGTATTCTTCTGCTTGTAGTATCGAACCTTTTTTTATTAGGGATCACTCGAATCCTCTCCGTAGATGGCTAATACTTTTTTAAGGTCTAAACTTAGATATTCAAAACTTCACTTAATTTGTGAATGAATCTCCTTTAAATAGTTGAGGTTGTACATATCCCACATTCACAAGTAGCTTAAAACTATATTATTATTTGATGGGTCCTTACACCTTTATAGGTCATCTGATATAATGTATTGTTGCAAGAGAAGTCCTATCAAAGAATAATTAGATAAACTTAGAAGGAACCAATGCTCTGAATAAATTTCTAAAAGAGAAATTCAATGACCAAAGCAACTATAAAAGAATAAATAAATACTATTTGATAATACATACATTTTTTTAACTTAAGCATCACTGACATCTTTTTAGTATCATTACATTTATCACTATTTCATATCACTAATATTAATATTAATAATTTAAAACAAAAAATATCTTAACTTATTTCAAATAGTTCTCAAATATTAAAAACCACTTCAAACATATTCGAAGCTACACATTCTTAAAACTTTAAAAAGCATCAACAAATAGGCAAAATGTGGGGAATTAAGATACTTAAAGAAGGTTCAACACGTAAATAAGCCCTTTAAACATTCTTAATCATCATGCGCATGCGAGTTTGGAGTTGGGTTTGAGTTGGATAATATTTGAACTTGTACTCAAACTCGTGTTGGATGCATTGTCTATCCATTGCACTCAAGAACTCTTTCCACTTATGACCTACAACAACATTCAACATCTCATATAACTCTAACAAAAATGCATCATAGGCATGATGTCCCTTATGGTAAAGAATACAATGATAAACATCAGCCGTTGGCCTTATAATAATCACCTCAAAAGAACATTTTTTATTGTGTCCAATCTCACAAATTATGGCCTTGTCATAGGAGCCAAATGACCACTGTGTTCCATGAACCTCTGATGTAAAAATCTCCAATCCACTTCTGCCAAATATGTTCCATCCTTATAAAACTTTATTTTCATAATTTCATCATGTGTATGTCATAATATGCAATCTTTATCCTCTAATCAAGAATGCATACAACACTGAAAAATTTTGTTCCATTTGCTTTTCTCCTTAAGGATATCGTTAGTGAAGTGCATCAAACATTCCTTCAACCGAGTGCTACCCTCCACAATTAACTTTTCCGTAGGGATTTTCTTAATCTTATTCATAAAAGCAGAAGAAATAAGAAGTTGTAGAAGATTTATAAATAAACTTGAACATCGAGGACACTGATCTCATTCATCCAAATAACTCATGCATGTTCAATTTATAAGAGGCGGCGGCATAAGTTTTCCTTTATCCAATAAGTCTTTCTTTTTTCACCTTTCCTATTTATTTTGCATTTGTTGCTAAGAAATCTAAATATATATGAAATATCTCAATAGCTTAACACACAAATAATTTGTTATTCTCCTTCATTAGAAAAAAAAGCTTAAAAATCTAAGATTATTTGTATTCAGTATTTATAAATATTGCATAAATTTTTTTTCCTACCAAAAGAATATTTAGGTGGCTTTTAGTCAGCTGTGCCTAAGCTTTCATTCAATAAATTGATAAAACTATCTTTAGCTTTCTAGAAGGGTATTTTAGCTATAATAACCAACGGCAACCTACCTCCGGCCACCGATCAACACTCGCTTTGGACATTTCGTTGCATTCATTTTATTTTGAATTGAACTAAAGAAAGTAATCTTATGTGTTCCTTCTACATTCATTCAAATAACTCTAAAAAATTTATTTTGCATTGCATTCTTTTTTTAATCAATCAAATTGCCCCTTAGGTATCCTACATTTTTTAGTTTAAATAAATGAATCTTCATAGTTTTAAGTCGAATCAAATTTTATTTATGTTAATATGTTTCACGAGATTAAAAATAAATTGCATTTTTGTACTTTATTGAACTATATCAAAATAAAATGGCAAGAATTTTATTTTTTTAAAAAGCATTTTGAACCGGAAAAATCTCCAGCTTGCTGATGAAAGCGATAAAGCGCCACATGATAAAAAAGCATTTTGAGGTGCTTCAACGAGTAAAAATCTATTTGGTAAAGTTTTTCCTTCCCAAATTTATAATTCTTCTTTGTCGTTATCAAATAACCCATCATCCTTTAATCGGCGGCAATCACATCAAAGCATGCAAGTGAATCTTGCAGTTATGCTTTGGAGCTTATTTTTTATTTCATGTTTTCCGTTTTGTTATATGATTTAATTTTGGGGTAATTTTGTGCTCTTTTGAGCATGGCCATTATTTTTAGGCTGTTTTTTGGGCCTTTTTGTAATCTCTCTCTTGCTTAATATGCGGGCTAAGCCCAAAATTTTCCCCCAAAAAAAATAATAATAACCTCACAAAATAATTTCAATATACTAATGAACATTTTATTTACAGAATAAATATGACACTTTATTTTTTAAATCATATAGAAAAAAAATATAACTCCTAGAGTTTGACTATCGACTTATTATTGAAAAAAGATGTATAAATTTTGACATATAAATTAAATAGTTTTATAAGTTGTTTATATATACTTATTTATTTATTTATTTATTTTGGTTATTTACAAATTCACATCTTTTTAAATTTACAAAATACTCAATACTTAAATCATTAAATTGTACAAAAATATCACGCATCCTTTACTTTTGTTGCGGGCTAGAATATATGCGGCGGTAGAATTAGGAATTTTCGTCTCAGCATTGTATGAATATACAACCACACAAATTGAAAAAAAAAAATGAAACACCGTAATTTTTGCTTGGAAAAGCCTAGAAAAGGAAAAAACTACATGCCACGCCTAGTTGAAATGATTTCACTAGTGTTTAATTAGATTACGAATGGCTGACTCATCCCTGAAATTGAGGATGACCATATTGCAATAATCAACAATAGGGTTGAAATCCAGTTACAAGCGGAGATCGGAAATCCGGCGATGTTTCGTAGTCAAGCAGAAATTTGGCTTCAATTGACGGTATGGCGGTAGTCTTGTGTCAATCAGCAATCGGGAAAAAGTCCGACGTCTGTCGTCTTCCGAGTGGAAGTCCAGTGACAGTTGGTGGCCGGGCTGAAGTCCGGCGATGGTCGAGGAGTGTGGTGGAAAAAGAACTATCTTCCTTCTCTTCTTTCATGGGCCCCCTCCATGAGAAATGAGGGGTCTATTTATTGTTTTCAGAGTATGGCAAGGCCCATAAATAAGAAAATGATCAAGGATAAAATGGGAGTGGTTTGAATGGACGACCAATGTTGAATCTCTTGATCATGGATAATTTATTAGGCATTTGAATGTCTTAATGATATCTGAATTCGATGATTTTGGGCTCGTTGGATTCATCTCGTCGAGCCACTCGATTTGATTATAAGCATGTCACATGTGGAAATCGTTTGGTAATCATATTATAGTTTGAACCTTCCAAATGTGCTTTTGGTTTTTGATTTGGACCTACTTGAGCTCGGATTGGTCGAATTTGGTGTCATTGGGTTCATATTTTTGAGGCGCTCAGTTCGACTGTAAGTTTGCTAAAATCGAAGTTCAGATAATACCGGATTAAATTTTTTAACTTTGCAACTTTATTTTGCCTCAAGAATCATGTCCGATCAAGAATTTTTTCTTCTTATGAAATATCAACTTTCATGGCAGCTTCTCCTTTGCACATTGTTCCTTTCCATCAATATTATTCCTTGTTGCTCCTCAACAAGGTTGTCAGTTTGACCTGAACTGACCAGAGAACATGAAATGGGCGTAGTTGCATGCGTGTGAGCGGAGCCTGGGAGAACGTGGCGAGGTCGGGACTGAATGTGGGCCGCGTGGCGTGGCCGAAGGCTGGGCTTGGGACCGTTGTGGATGCGGGTCGTGCGGCTAGGCCAGATGGCAGCGATAGTGGTTTTCGAGCTTTGATTTCTGAGATCTCGATGGAAAAAGCCGCGGGACTGGCTAAAGGTGACGACATTTATGAGGTGGTGGAAGAGTCATCGGCCAACAGATTTGGTGTTTTGGGAGGCGGCCTGGGGATGAGAGGCGGGCAACGCATGGCAGAAATCTCGTGGTTTCGATATTGGCGAAGGCACCTCTGCGGTACAGACATACAATGGTAGGCTGAATTAAACGGGTCAACCCGAGTCATTTCAGGTTTCAAGGTTAACCCGTACCTGATCCGACTTTTGAAACGAGTCAACTTGTTGAACCCAAATCCGACCCGTATGTCAAACGAGTTAATCCGAGCCCGAAATTTTTCGGGCTGAATTTCAGTTCATGTCAAATATTAATACCTCTACTATTAAAGGCATGAATATAATAATTTTAGGTGTTAATTATATAAATATCCAAAAAGTATATCAAAATATCTTACCACTTTCCTTGTTTACTTGATAAATAGACATTCAGGTCCCCCAACATCGACCCCCCTCTTCCACCATCTTCCTTATTTTCTTTGAACACATCACTAAAAACAGAAGAGGGGAACACAAACTAAGCATCATCAACAACACTACAAATGGGTTTCATCTTCCCCCACTCTTTCTCCACCATTTTCCTTTTTTTCTCCTTTATGAGTACAGACACTAAACTCCTCTCTCTTTAAATCTTTCGGTAAATAGATTTACTAACAAATCTTTGATTCCTACAGCATCGGCGGAGAAGATAACAACATTCACTATTATAAACAATTGCCGGCGGACAATCTGGCCCGGAATCCTCTCCGGAGCCGGAATCCCTCTCCTTTCCACCACCGGCTTCCAGCTCCAGTCCGGCCAATGGCGTTCCATCGAAGCTCCTTCCGGCTGGTCGGGCCGTCTATGGGCCCGCACAAGCTGCGTTTTTGACGATTCCAAACCTGGCTTCTGCCTCACCGGCGACTGCGGAACAAGGAAGGTTGAATGTAACGGCAAAGGGCCGGTGCCACCGGTAACTTTGGCGGAATTCACGCTAGGTGACGAAAAGAATTTCTACGACGTGAGCTTAGTGGACGGATATAATCTTCCTATGGTGATCGAAGGGGAAAAAGGGATTTGTGCGGTAGCGGGCTGTGCGGTGGATGTGAATGAGAAGTGTCCGCCGGAGTTGAGGTTGGGAGAGGCTGCGCCGGTGGCGTGTAGGAGTGCATGCGCGGCGTTTGGTGGGGATGAGTATTGTTGCAGTGGGGAGTTCGCGTCACCGGCCAAGTGTAAGCCGACGGCGTATTCTGAGGTATTTAAGACGGCGTGTCCGGATTCGTATAGCTATGCTTTTGACGATGCCAGTTCGATTTTCACTTGCGCCGGCGCCGGCCAGTTTACCGTTACCTTCTGCCCGCTGGCAAATCCAAGGTAGGAGTCATTGGATCATCATGTCAATAAAGTAAATGAATTAAAGCTCCAACCTTGTGAGACAGTTTGAGGTAAGCTCGGAAAAATAGCTCATGAGTCAAACTTAATCCCAATTTAGAATTAACTCGCTAGCTCCTGAGCTAAATTATTTTAAAAAAAATATTATTATAAAATACATTTAAAATATATTAAATTTTAAAAGTTCAAATATAAAGTTATTATAAATATTTAGAAACTTTATAACTTTTTTATATCAAATAATTATTTATTACTTATCTTCAAATTTTTCATTTTATTTATAATTTTATTATAATAATTATTTAAAATATAATCATTTTCACTTTTTTTTTATAAATAAATTAGCTCATAAGTTGGCACAAACTCGTAGAAGTAGCTCGAATCCAAACTTGATTAATTAATTAAACTCCAACTCAAGCTCATATTCCAAATTATTAAAAAATACTCGAAAATATTAGAAATAGATATCTTGATGCAAAAAAGCATCATTATAAATCCTTAAATTTAGGTTGAGATTAATATTATATATAATACCCTGAATTATACTATTTTCAGCATAAATTTAAAGATTATTAAAATTATTTTTAATACATTTTGCTCCATATATAATTATATTTCGAGTGTTTAGTGCTCAATTATTTAATTTTAGCAAACTTTAATACTCGTTTCTCAATTAGAGCCATATATATTAAAACAATCTCTCATGACATACGAAGGAACTTTACATTTAAAGCTTTGTGCGTCAAATATGCCTTTTATTTATTTTTTTTTTAATTATCTAATTTATAATCTGTTGCTATAAAGCTATTATTTTATCTAATTAATCATAGTGAACACTTACTATTATTCACTGTTTATTGTTTGGGCAGTGAAAAGTCTTCGACCGAACCTTGGCTGGCTAACCTCACCTCCAACCCGGCTCCTGAACCGTGTTGTCGTCTTCTCGCTGCTCTAATTGTTGTCTTCTTCTCTCTTCTTGCTTTCTACTTATCTTGAAGGTGGAGTTCTAGGAGTTTTGAATGAATTTGTTGATGTTAAGAGCAATTTTCAGATAAATAAGTAATGTAATATTAATTTAAATGTAAATTTATTTTATCAATGCTGTTAGATTTAACGAAATCTTAATATTATTTGTGTAGTTGCAATCATATTCTATTATAGATTCAAATTGAGTGCAACGAGAATAGAGAGAGAAAATAAGCGACAAATCTTTGAATAAAATTCTTTTTGATTAATTAAAAATAAGAGTTGTGACCGACCCCATACAATTCCTAGGGAGGCGTGGGAGGATTATGGAGGCTGGCTCTATTCGAATGGATGGAATCTGATCGAGTTCTTCTGCATCCCGGATAATGTTGTATTCAACAACATGCTCTATATCCTCTGCAGGAAAGATCCGCATGGAAACTTCATTGATGCAGCGCTCTTAATCTTTCGACGAATTGGTAAGCCTGATGAATTCACTTACAGTAATATTCTCATTGGCCTGTCCAGGTTCGGTAGATTCGATATTGCTATACAGATTTTCCATGAAATGAGTAGATCTCACTTGATTCCTACTAGAACTGCTGCCAACATACTTATTGATGGAACCAAAATAGAACATAAAACGAAGCAAAACTTTCTTGTGCACGGGCAGAAGACGGAAGAAAAAAAAAACAACAGAGAGCAAAAATAACTTCAGTCGTTTACGGAGAACAAAACAGAGAGCCACACTTCTCTTTTGCTTCTTCACGGGATACAAATAAAAACAAAAACAAAACAGTTTTTAAAACTGTCTAATAAAGCAAATAAAATAAAACCAACAGAAAACTAAAGCAAACATAGCGTCGTTTGGTTTGATAATATCCAACAATCTCTCCCTCAAACCAAAACTTTTTTCATCCCAAGCATCTTCAATAGCTTTAGAAACCTCGGTTTCGGCAATGCTTTGGTGAATAAATCAGCTACCTAATCCTTCCATGCTAATTTTACCCATCTTTACAGCTGTATCTCTGATAAAATGATAACACACATCAATGTGCTTACTCCTTCCATGTTGTACTGGATTTTTGGCCAACGCGGTCGCCGACTTGTTATCCACATAAATTATTATAGCTTCATCAATCTCTCCATAAAATTCCTTCAGCAAATTCTTCAACCACATTGCTTCACAAGCCGTTGTCGCCGCTGCTATATACTCTACCTCACATGTAGATAATGCTACAACTTTCTATTTCTGTGTGTACCAAGTAAAAGTTGTATCATCAACATAAAATACATATTTACTTGTGTTTTTTCTTTCCTCATGATCATTTGCCCAATCACTGTCACAATATCCAAGTAACTTCATATCTCCAGTGCACTGATAATGAAGGCCAAACTCAATTGTGTCACTAATATATCTAAGAATCCTCTTCACTGCAAGCCAATGAGACTCCCTTGGATTCTCCATGAATCTGCTCAAGATGCCCACACTATACACAATGTCAGGTCTCATCACTGTCAAGTATCTGAGGCTCCCAATCAAATTTTTGTACAATGTCGGATCAACCAATTTTCCTTCTCCTTCTTTTGTGAAATGAACTCCAATTTGCATTGGTGTTGACACACTATTGCAATGATTCATTCTAAACTTTTCAAGTAATTCTTTTTGTAAACCTCTTCTGACATATCCAAATGCCATCATCTTTCTGATGAACTTTTATACCCAAAAATAATGACATGAGGCCAACATCTGTCGTATCAAATCTTCCGAACATGGTTGATTTAAAGTCTGCAATCATTTGCTCATCATCGCCTGTTATAAGCAAATTATCCACATATAAGCATATAATTAATTTGTTGTCATTTGAGTCTGTCTTTATATACATACCATGTTCATAAGAGCACTTAGTGAACCCTTCTCCAAAATGCTTATCAATGCATAAATTCCAAGCCCTCGGGGCTTGCTTCAAGCCATACAAAGCCCTTTTCAAATGATACACCATGTGTTCTTTTTCCTTCACAATAAAACCATCAGGCTGATCTACATATACTTCTTCCTCCAAAACACCATTAAAGAAAACAGACTTCACATCTAATTGATGAATCAGCCATCTACTCATAGTTGCAATAGAGAAAATTAATCTGATTGTATCTAATCTAGCAACCGGTGCAAAAACTTCTTCATAATCTATCCCTTGCTTCTGCTTGTAGCCTTTGACTACAAGTCTAGCCTTGAATTTGTTTACACCTCCTTCAACATTTTTCTTCACTTTGTACACCCACTAGACACCAATGGATTTTTTACCTTTAGGAAGTGAGGTCAAACTCCATGTATCATTTCTCCCAATAGCATCAATCTCCTCTTTCATAGCATCCATCCATCTCTTATCTGCAACTGCTTCATTAAAAGTTAAGAGCTCTTCATCTACATATAATGCAAATTGAGACAACTCCTCATTATTATTTGTGGTGTCATATATCTCTGGAGGCTCCTTGTCTTCACCTTTTCCATACCATTACTAGATGATTCTCCCAATCTCACTGTAGTGTGCGGTGGTATTTGTTACTCTACATCATCAATAATTTTTTTTTCCACAACTGTAACATCCTCTTTGTTGCCTTTTTCAAGCCAATCCCAAGCTAAGTTTTCATCAAATCTCACATCCCTACTCACTACCACTTTCTTCGTTATAGGATTATACAGTTTATAATATTTGGACCTTTCACTGTATCCTACAAACACACACTTCTCAGATTTTTCATCCAACTTCCTTCTCTTTTGATTAGGTACAAAAACATAAGAAATGCTCCCAAAAACTCTTAAGTGATCAACAATAGGCTTATGACCACTCCAAACTTCAAAAGGGGTTTGAGATGGAGTGCTTTTTGATGTCACCCTTTTCAATAAATACACAACACATGACATAGCTTCAGCCCAAAGAAAATTGGGCACTTGCCTCTCCTTCAACATACTCCTAGCCAATCCCATAATGGTTCTATTCAACCTCTCAGCTATCCATTTTGTTGTGGTGTGTATCTAGTTGTTAACTGATGGCGTATCTCATTCTCCTTCAAATAATTTTGCATCTCATGACTGTTAAGAGAGTTGATATTTGCATGTTTTATATTCTTGCAACTTGTATAGTTTTGATGATTTTAAATATTATTATTTTATGTGTAGTTATCTCCTAACACTTTTTGGAAGAGTTGTTTTTGCTCTTGTGTGTACTAGCATTTCAAGAAAATCAAACTCCATACTACGAAGACTTCTTGTGTGTACTAGCATGACATACTTTGTGTATTTAAAGCTTGCATTTTTCTTTGAATAAAGTTTGAGAGGGAGTGATTGTAATTGAGTGAATAAACACACACACTTAAGGAGATCTAAAAAATTTGTATTAATCATATGGGACAAACATAGTTCGTATGTTCGTACGGGACGATCAGGTCAGTTATCTCCTTGTAAGAGCAATGGAACGAACAAGAATTGAAGAAAATTTTCTAAGTCCTGATCATTCAGGACGAAGTGTATTTGTCCCATGACGAAATATTCTCTGGAAAATTTTTGTTCAGACAAAATTTATATTCGTTCTAGGACGAGTTCCACTCTGGAGTATTTTCATCCAGGATGAAGTGTATTCGTCTCGGGATGAAATCTCCTCTGGAGAATTTTCGTTCAGACGAAATTTATAATCATGCCCGGACGAGTTGCTCTCTGGAAAAATTTTGTTCGGACGAACCCATACTCGTCCCAGGACGAGTGAATTGACTCTGAAATTTAGTGACGTTCTATAATTTTGGGAACTGACCTATAGAATAATCGTTCGTACCGGATGAACCTAGTTCGTACAGGATGATGTGTGTGTATGAAGTCATTTCGTACCCATATACATTAGGTTCATTTCCAATGCATTTAAGTAAAATCGTCCAGGACAATCCACGATCGTACGGGACGATCCACGATCGTACGGGACGATCCAATGAGTATTGACTTGAAAATTTGCAGTTTTTGGACATTTTTTGTGTCTTTCATATAAATTGTCCAATCTAAACTACCACTTAATCTTTTTACTCACTGATCTTCATGCCTATTGAAAGAAGAGTCAAGGAGAAAATGTGAGAGAGTGTTCGAAGGAGAATTCTTACTCCTGGAGCGTGAAGGCTTCACTTGGTGTTCAAAGGTAAGAATCTTTACTTTTGATTTGTGTTTACTTCACTCTTTTCTCTCTTCCTTTTAGATTTCTTGTGAAGAAGATATGTCAAGGAGATCCGGTTCTCTACTGACACTTTGAGAGTGTGAATAGCCGAAGGGTTCTCTGCCCACACTAGGAGAGTATGAAAGAACGAAGGGTTCTCTGCTCATACTAGGAGAGTGTGAAATGATGAAGGGTTCTCTGCCCACGCTAGGAGAGTGTGAAAGGATGAAGGGTTCTCTGCCTACACCGAGAGAGTATGAAAGGAAGGATGGTTCTCTTCCAACACTAGGAAGAGTGTAAAAGGATGATGGTTCTCTACCGCACCGGGTAGTGGTGGAAGAGAGTTTTGTAAAGGCTTCTCTGCCTTGTTGTGGGTGCAAAAGGAGAGTCACTAGTGGTATTAGTGCAATACTTAGAGGGTGCCTCCGAGGAGTGGATGTAGGTTTGGTTTTGACCGAACCACTATAATAATAACCTCCAATAGAAGTAGTGTGCATCGGTCCACATAAATCTAAATGAATAAGCTCCAATGCCTTCAAGGTTCTCCATGATTTTCCAACTGAAAATGGTTCTCTACTCTGCTTTCCTGCAACACATGCTTCACAAATCATGTCTTGAACTTCAATATGTGGAAGCCCATCAACTATATTTTTTTGGCTCATATAAGAAAGTGTCTTGGAACTCAAGTGACCAAATCTACAATGCCATAATCTTGAATGATTTTCTATGGAAGTTCTCAAACAACCATTTAAACTACAAATCATCTTTATGGGATACATTTTATTTGGAGTCACATTTACCATGGCAATAAAAAATCCATGCTTATCTTTAATGGTACAAGTGTCAAAAGAAAATGTCAACACATATCACTTTTGATTTAATTGTCTAACACTAAGCAAATTATGCTTAAGATTTGGAACATAGAAGACATCTGATATCTTCTTTT